GCCCCACTCCAAGCCGCGCGCAGATAGGGCAATCGACGGCAAATTTTTGCTACAGGTAAGCCACGCTATCCACGCTATTGTGAATTAAAAGCAAAAACAGTAGTTGAATGGATCATCATACTTATTCTTGATTAAGCATTTTTTTTAATGAGATCTCTCGGGACACCCATTTCGGGCATTTTTCGCCTTCCTGTCATTTATTCTGTGGTAATTTTTGTGACATTCGTTGAAGTTGTTTCGATTGCATGAATAGAGTTGAAACTGATTTTTTTTTGTTCCACGGGCTTGTTAAAAGACTGGATTCACAAAAATGGATGCGCGTCCCTCGAGGTTTATTTGTAAAGTAATATGCACAAAGCATAAGCAATCGAACGCATTCTATTAAAATTAACGATTGCTCTCGAGGTTTGAATGCCACAATATGTGCGATGATATTACCAACTCTTAGGTGCGTAGAAGACATATGAAGACATATGACCAAATTTGAGGGGTCGGTGTCACTGAAATTGAGATTTGTGTTTTGGTAACTATCATTAATGTTATTTTTGACAAGGTCTTGGAGTAGCTTTACGGAATCATGCTTCAATTGAGAATTTGAATTTTGGTTAAAATCAACTAAAGTTAGTTTGAGGATACGGGGTCATTTTTATTGAGCAAATTCACTTTTAATATTTGTTTATTTTTCATGAATACGAAGGGAGGGTTATTCTAGAGTGGTTTCTCGTGGTTACTCTGTTTTGTTCGATCCATCCATCAGGTAGTATGGAATGTCAGTTTGGAGAGGGACTTATTTTAAACGTAAATAGGGGTTGGGAGATTGGTAGTTTGGACAACACGTCATAACGAAGGTCCGAATCTCAGGCAACTTCAAAGAACATTGCGATCAAATGTATAGCTTAATCTAATGGCTTTTTAGTACACCGCGAAAATGGGTTTTGACTGTTTTTCTATCCGCCAGGCTTTGCTTTTACACGCCCACTATTGCGAGGAGACAAGTCGATTTGACTTCGAAACAACGCGGCACCTTTACTCGGACATTTGCGAGGCATTCCCTGGTTGCGAAAAGGCTCACTTCCGCCTTGCCCACTATGTAGATGAGGCGCGGAACCAGTCCGGAAATCAGCATGAGTAAGTTAAATCTTCTGCTCTTCCACATGTCTCTATGCTTCTAAGAAGCGTTGAAAGCTTCAATTTTTTTACAGTGTATTGCTCAAAGTCGCTTTGGAAAATTATGGTCAGGCTTTGGCCTGTGGAAGTCAATTCATTTTCCAGTCTATGCCTCGTTTTCTTTCCCTCTGGCTTGATTATGGTGCGGAGGTGGCGAAGATGCAACAACGCCAACAGCAGGCCTCAGCTACGTCCATCGGTCGCCGTGGCACCAATCAAAAATCTACTGATGGCAATACGTTGGACACCTTCAACGAAGTTCAAAATGTGAGCTCTACTTATACATTATGGGTACGGTGTCTATGTAGATTTACTAAAATTTCTTGCTTTTGCTTAGTTGATACGACAAAGCCTGTCAAAAATTCCTCCGTTCCAGTTTTACACAGCAATTGGACAAATTTTGTCTCGTGTTTGTCACGAGCATCCGGCGGTCATTGCAATTCTAATTGATCTTATTGCTCGCATTGTTTTGGCCCACCCACAGCAAACTGTTTGGTCCGTTGTGTCACTGCACGAGGTGAGTTTCGTGAGGCTTCATTCTTCCCTTTAATGCTCTCCTGGTCATTGTTTTTTTTTATCCAGGCGTCCGTTTCTCAAAGGCACGAACGGTTCCAACAAATATGTGCAGCCATAAGGTGCATCTCGTCTGTAATACTATCTAATCATTTAATCTTATCACTCACTCTAATTTGTCCTCTCCTTGTTCATTTTTAGGACTCATCAAAAACCACTGTACAGGTTTATCCTGGCAAGTTTTGTCTGCGTGAAATTATGCTTGGTTCTCAGATTTGAAACTAGACTACATTCTTGCGGCAATGCCTTAGGATAGTTAAAATTTTATTTGCCGTATTTGTCCGCTTCTAACTGCATTACTGTTGGATGTGTTGGATATCAGAACTTTGGTTGTTTAAACTCAGTTGTGTACTTGTCAGTGCCTTGGCCTATTTTAATAACATTTGTCATTTTTAGGACTTTGTGGGGTTTTGTGGCCACTTAAGAACAATCAGTGATCTCTTCTTATCTTCTGATCGTCGAGATGTTAAATCTTTCAAAATTTCACAGGTTATTCGTCCCTTTACTCGGCTGCTTGAGACATGGTAAGCTGAATAAACCTTTCCTTAGACATTGTTCTCCGTTATTCCCACCTTACTTCTCCTCAAGTCACGCATAGGCTCTTAGACACTGAGCCTCTTCAATGCTATATAAATAGCACCGCAAAGGAGCCACCAATTACAGTTCTTCTCCCATTCTTTACGCCTTTCTTATCCATACAAATAAACAAGCCATCAACTAAGTGGTAAGGCGATTTCCCCTTAACCGTGGGACGCGAGTCTTCCCTGTCTCTTGCTCGCTCGTGCGAATCATTGTGTGAGCCATCGCTCTTGCTGCTAAGCTTTATGCATTATGGGCATAACTTTCGCTTGTCCAGA